CCCAAGAGACATCCTAACTTTGTCACAGAGCCTGTCCCAGTGTATCTTTCAAAAAGACTGATACAAAATTAAAAGCAGCAGTATTCACTTTAGTAACCATAAAGCCCCACTTTTTGGTCTCTGGTTTTTCTGCTAGATATAATTTCAGGATATTGACTAAAGTGGAAAAGAATGGAAGAACAGAACTATAATTTCTCATTGACATTGCTGTAACCGAGGATGAGGAATCCTAACACACAGGACAATAATGTGCCACACACTCCCATGGCTCACAATTTACAAATTTCATAAATCAACATTCTGGAAAACCACTGGGATCCTTATTTGGGTTTCAAATGCTAAATGAATCCCTGACACCCTAGTTTCCATTAGAAAAATGTATTCTTTTCTCTTTAACACTTCTAAGCACCTAGATTCTTAAGCATTCTCAGAACTTTCAACAGAAGCTAAGTAAAATGCCTACTAACCTAAATAGAAAACGGAAATATTAGTACGGTTTTAGTGACATAAATGAAGGATTCTATATTGAAATGATAACTAGGGAAAGCAGCAAAATCCTGGGGATTTTGAAAAATAAAACTAAGCTAAATTCTATTCAATTGTATTATTTTATGACACATAAATAACCTCTTCCAAAGACAAGTAGGAACCATTTTAACTTTGCTAGAGATAGAAACTACTTACAAGCTCCATGTTTTTGCAACTGAAAACGTTAGGTGTTTCCTGAAAAGATGCTCTAATTTTATCTATAAACTCAAGAATTACATGCAGAATAATGCAGCTGACTAAACGATCTTGGTTGAATAACTAACAATGGCTATTCAGATAATGAAAACTCCCTTAGGATTTCCTTCTCTTTAGAAAGTTGAAATCGCCTTATTAAGGGCTGACTCTTAGCTTTGCAGTCCAGCTACCCGTTTGTCCCACCCAGTGCAGTCAGCTCATACTCACAATGTCCCTTTTGGCCATATGGCTCTTTTCATAAGCCACTGCCAACCTGAATTTCAGCCATCAGATCTCCCAGGATGCAACATTAGCCCATAAGTAAGTCTACCCCAAGGAACACTGGACTACAGACTCACTCCAGACCTCTTTTTCATGGAACTCACAGTTGCCAAGTCTAAGTCTGTATCTTCAGTTTCTTTCCACCTTTAGAATACAGGCTTCTTGGTGGGGTGACATGTGATATTAATCACCACTTGCATACCCTTCACACAGCAGAGTCCATGCCATGTAAATATTTTTAAGTGGACAAACTTGATAACTGAATGACTGACACAAACTTTTCTTACCCAAAGTATATTGGCAAGACAATCTCTATGAATCCATTGCTTCTTTAAAAATAAAAACTATGTACCTAGTTTTGACAGACAACATAAATACTAACGCCTAAGGATTTCACTGCCATTTTACAAATCTTTCTGACATATATGCTCATTAATCACCATCTGTTTATGCGTGCTATTCTGGATAACATTTTGGTTACATTTCTGAAACATTTCCTGCCATTAACCTCATCTCTAGAATACCAGCTAATATGAAGCACCTGGATTTCAGGAACACAAACCTGAAACCCACACACCAAACTAAACTGTTATGTAAATGACAGAAATGACACATTTTGGTATCAACATCTCAGAGAAAACTCCTGGACCAATTTAACTTTTACCACTGAGATTTTGTCACTTGATTATAGTCATTTGGAGCTCACGAAAAATGCAGCATAAACGGAAAAGAAACAATTTTCCAACATTGCTTACAAAAGTCAGACTTTAAAAACATCATTAGTCCAGGTTTACTAGAATCCTAGCAACTTATTTAGTCAAGGAGGGGGCTTTGATTTTTGCTCTGAAAATATTGCAAGCTTAATTTTTCTAAGAAAGAAAAAAAATCTTCATGAATCAAACTAAAGTCTGGATTTGCACTCAAACAGTTTTCATTTGTGGGACCCCAAACAGTGAAATGAATCCTTGAGTTTCAGTTTTCTCATAGGTAAAAGCAATGAATGATTCCTCTACCCTAGAATGACGCTGAGGTTTCAGCAAAATAGAACAGGCTGTGCTTAAGTATGCCTAGTGCTCCTTTCTCCCTGGCTACAAAGGAACTCTATCAGGATTCTGCAGCATAACATAACCAGGTTAGCAAAACTGACGCTCTTCACTTATCTACTGCTAGTCCAGAGTGTTCAGGCTTAAAAAAAAAGTATTTTCCTTTCTCTTTTAGATTTATTTATTTTTATTTGAAGGCAGAATCAGAAGGGTGGGGAGAAGAGAAAGAAAGAAAATCTTTCATCTGCTGTTTCATTCCCCAAATGGTTGAAATGGCCAGAGCTGAGCCTATCCAAAGCCAGGATCAGGAGCTTCTTCAGGGATCCCACGTGGGTGCAGGAGCTCAAGGACTTGGGTCAGCCTATGGTGCATTCCCAGGCCACAAGCAGGGAGCTGGAGTTGAACTGAAGTAGCTGGGACACAAACCAGCACTCATGACACTCTAACACTGTAGCTGGATGGTTAGCTTGCTGTGTCCCCAAGTTGACCTCTTACTAATTTTAAGGTCTCAAATAGGGCAGAGATTTTGTATCTAAAGAAATGGCAGTGCTAACCAATGAGATTCCTAGGTAAAAGATATACCTCACAGAAACAACTACCACACAAACTAACCAGATGTAAAATCCCTGACAACAGAAATACGATACTACCATCACATCACATAATTTTTAAATCAGAACAGAGAGCAAAGCCTCTGCCACACCTTCAGATTAAGAAACACCATATGGGGAAATGAAGGAAGCCATTAAAATGACAGCAAGAAGTACAACTCTGAAGCTTTCATATTCAATTACACATGTCACTTCCAAAATTTTAAATCAAATTCAAGTGAGGATCAAGATGGAAAGATGTTGAGACTAAAAGGAAAGTTATGGACTTGCAGGTCAGTAAGAACCAATAAAAGCCCTGGAGGCTCTTGCGTCTTTCTGTTTCAGAACAAACTGCCCAAGCAGGAAGCTCAGCCCTCAAACTGTCCCCACCTGGCTGGCAGGCTTTGTCAGGCAAATTTTGAGAATTCTCCACCTTCCCACTTTCTAACTAATTATAGATTTAAGAAAAAAAGAAACACATTGTTTCCCCCCACCCTTACTCCCTCTCCATAACACATACAGTAATTCTTTCCTACGAAAAGTAATAATAAATTGCACTTCTCCAAAAGGAGCTTTAAAAAAAAGCATTTACAACAACAAAATCATGATATGAATACACAATTCAGAACTTAATCTAACTGATGAAGTATAAATTTTAAAACAGTTTTGGAATTCTTTCAGTAATATCTTCAGAGTCTATGGTATATAGGTATATTTTATTCAATTAAATTCTACATTAAAATCCTCTGACAGGCTGGGAGAATGACTAGTGATACGTCACCATGGAGCTCCAGGTACATAAAAAAACAGAATTAATGAATGGTAAGTGATTTAATAAATTAACAAAATATATATGCCAAGTACTTTGCTAGACATTGGCCATACAGCATGAGAAGTAATCTAGCATTTGGAAAAACATGAACCATTTGAACACTGTTATCTGCAACATAAAATCAGAAATGATCCACTTGGGGCGGGGCTGACCCAGATGCTGGCTGCTACACTTCTGATCCAGGTCCTTACTCACACGCCTGAGGAAACAGTGGAGGATGGCCCAAGTGTGTGGGCCCCTGCTACCCATGTGGGAGAACCAGAGGAAGCTCCTGGCTCCCAGCTTCAAAAGAGTCCAGCTCTGGTCATTGTAGCTATTTGGGCAGTGAACCAGAAGATATCTTCTACGTCTCTCTTTGTGATTCTGCTTTTCAAATAAATAATCTTTTTTTTAAAAAAGTCTGAACAAACAAAACAAAGAACCCTCATTCTTACTGGGTTTTCTCTTTGAACAGTTCTGATAGTTCTATAAAAGACTGTAAAATAACTACAGAAGTAATTATACATAAAACTGTGATACATGGGGCTGATGCCATGGCGCTGCAAAGCTAATCGTCCATCTGCTGTGCCAGTATCCCACATGGTTTCAGTTCATGTTGGTGAGCATTTGAGAGATTCCTCCCATGGGCAGAGGTCCAAGGACTTGAGCCATCCTATATTACTTTCCTGGGTCATAAGCAAGGAGCTGGATGGGAAATGGAACAGCCAGGATAAGAACTGGCACTCACAAGGGATACCAGTACTGCAAATGGAGGATAAACTTGCTATGCCCATCACACCGGTCGTAACAATATAGGATTTTAAAGGTACTCTACAAAAACGTATCTTTTCTTTACCTGATGTAAATATAAGGCACATGAGCTTCTTATCTATTTTACTGTATAATACTGTGGAATCAAAAGATCAGCTGATTTCCATTATTCATACTACAAATATTTAATTAAGTAACAGGAATTACCACTGCTCTTAAAGAAAATAAATGATTGTATTTTGTGAGTTTTGGTCACAATGTGTTGATCAACTTATGAACAGATAACTTTTTATGTGTGTTAATGTTTAAAATCAGGACAACTCCTGAGGCTCCTTTTAAATAGTAAGATCACCATGAAAAAGGTACCAAAAGGAGAAAACCAACAATACAGACTGTCAGCATCACATGTATCCATAGCATGAGAGGTGAAACAATTAGAAAGAGTGTCACTTTGCTCAGCTTTGGCTGAAAACTGAGGGTTGAGTAAATCAAACTATTTACATAAATACACCTATCAACGACCACAAAAAGTGTTCTTAGTGCTGGCTTTGACTCACAAATTTCAGCAAGTAGGTAAATCTGAAAACAGATTGTATATAACTATCAACTTAAACAAGGTAAGTATTTCAGTGAAGTCTCTTATTCCTACTAAAAGTCACAGATCCAAAAAATCCTAATGAATTGTTTAGTTAGTATGCAAACATAAGCATTTTGGATTTGTGTGTTTCAAGAAGCAAGATGTCTGAGGCTTTTCAATATTTTTAAAATGGCACTTCCTACCTGATATATTCTAAACGGGATATAACGAAATCCATTTTCTTCAGCAGGATATTCCATGAGTTTTCGATTGATGGCCCAAAACTGGTCAAATCTGTCTGAAATCATATAAAATTTTTATTAGAATAAATATTATAACAATAATTCAGATGAACAGAATATTTCAAACATCCTTCTGAATATTCCTGAAAGGTTACACATACAACATTAACGCTTTCTGCATTATTGCCCAGTCACTTTCTCTCTCATTAAGACAGACTAAACATAATAATCAAAACAAAAAAGACCAAGCAGGGGCAGATGTTTTCACTCACCTGCTCCTACTCATCCTATCAAAGCATACAGCCAGAACTCTGAGAGACTTAATTGGTCATCAAACTTTATATACAGAAACAAAGTAAAAAACTGAATTCAGTAAAGATTAAATGAAGAATACAGCTTAGAAAGCCTATGTTAGGAATATGAAAGGCCAAGCCTGGGGGTGGGCAGGGCCAGACTGCAGCACCTGCTGATATCAAAAAGGTTTGAGGGTGGGCTAGACTAGACTAGGCTGAGCACGCCATGGGACACATGAGAGCCTTGTCTAGCAGTAGGCCTACAGACTCTCAGGTGTCTCCTCAACGAGGCTGCAGCACCCACAGACACAAGCACTCTTCCATGTGCTTAAGAACTGGGTCGGGGAACTGGAATGGTAGGATTACTTGCAGGGTTTCCCTAGCTGGGCCATCACCCATTGATGCGTGCATGGCTTGGGATGGGGGATAGGCCATGCCAGGCCAGGCCACTGCACCTGCCCGCTCACACAATAGCAGGTCTGGGGACCAGCCCAACAAGTAGTTCTTGAGAGTTGCTCCAACAAGACTACTCCATGCAATCTCAACCTCAGGGAAAATCCCATGTACATGTGGCCTAGCCTCAGAGAACATGCTGCAGACCTGGGCCACCTCTTGCTGATTTCTGTATGCACACAAAAGACCAAGCAGGCAGCTTCTCTAATTCAAAAGAATAGCTCAAGTACCTCATCAAAAAAGGGAAAGGAACCCAGGCTGAACAACACTACGGGTCAACTTCTCCAGCAAGCACCTAAGAACACAGACACACTGATACAGACAGGAGCAGAGAACAGGTATTGGAAGTAGCATCTCACTCCCTCCCCCCCCACCCCCCCCACCCCGCCCCCCCCAAGGAAACCAACAACATCTTAGAACAAAAACACCCTCAGGACATTCTCCTCCCATGGACATCCTCCTCCCATTCTGTCTCCCTCAACTGGTGCAGCAGGGTTAACATTTCCCTGAGCCCCACTCCTACCCCAATTTCCCACTGTGGTTAGAGAAGGCAGGGTGGAGGCCTTCCCTCTCTCACCTTCCCCTCCACTCCTCCCTTTCCCATTTTACTTGGAGACCCACAAGGGTCTACAAATCTCCTCACCTATATAACAAACATTGAAAATAAATGAACAAATAAAAAAAATGTGCAACTATTTTTAATCCTTCTTTAATCTTTGTTTCAATGAAAAAATTACCGGTATATTCTGCGTACCTTTAAATTTACCTAATGAAAGTATAAAACTAATATATTTTAGCATGTTCAAAGTTCAGGACATTGTCATCATCCAAAAAGAAATATGTAGCCAGCATTACTCCTATTCATCTTTTCCTCCAGTTCCAACGATTGCTAACATGCATGAGATTTTTGAGAAAGTTCATGGATGTTATATTTTGATTTCAAAAGTTTTGCAAGGTAGCTTTTTCTGTGACAGAGGATAATAGACACAATGATAGTGACTCCCCTGACATCATCCTTCCAGACATGAAGCATACTTCAGTACTTTCTAAGAATGTCTATCAAATAATAAGACTTCAAGTGAGAGTAAAATAAAGACAACTCTACATAAACTTGAAATTTTACTCATTGCTTTCTAATGACATCTTCTGCACTACGATACTTGTATGGCATGCACTCTTGAATCAAAGAATTATCACTACACTACACTACATACTTTTAAAACAACTTTTCAATTAAAACAAACCTTACCCCCTGCAACTAAATACCAAGGTGACTAGAAACAAAATCTCTGGAAAATTTGTACATCATTCACACACAAACAAAATAAAGGAGAGGGGGAAGAAGAGATTAAAGCAGTGATGCTCACTCAGAAAAGACCTGCTTTCTAGGGGTCAGCTAGTCTAATGCCTAAGGACATTCGTGGGTGCTACTAGTATACACGGGACAAAGCAGAGACATGGCTAAACACACTAGGCTGCAAAGGACAGCTTCTCAAAACAACGATCAGACTCAAAATGTCAAAGGGCAAAGGAAGCAGAACAATCACAAACAATAAGCACAGAAAGGTCATCAGAGTGGGTTTTGCATAGCTGAATGGAAAGAAAGTCAACTAGGAAAGGGAGCTATCAATTTTGTGACTCAGCTTTAAATTTACCCTTCACTCTGTTCACTTCCAACTGGGATGGACCTGACTGGGATGACCACGGTGAGCTTTTCCAGTAGGGCACTTCAAGCAGAACGTGGGAACAGAGCAATCATCTATAGTTTCCTAATGCTGCACGCGGGGTCAGCAACACAGGTTCTCAGGTGCTGCCAGCTCTGCCCTTAAAACAACTGTGTTCTCCACACGGAACCCGGCACTCTGAAGGTCTGCTGCCTCAACAAACACAGAAGGCAGATGAAGCCATGCCTGTTACGTCTGGTAGCCCACATGGGTAGCTTTTATACACTTTGCCATACTGCCACACCTGGTCCGTACGTTCCTCTTGCTGAGTATCTGCTCTGAGGCCCAGAGGTTACTGATCAGCTCCAGCTACCAAGTACAGATGGACATTATTTACATTATGAACAGGTCCCAAGGAGTTGGAGCACCAGGACACAAACCAGAATCCATACGGGATCTTGTCGTGTGCATGGTGAAGATACTAGCTTCCTGAATATTATTGAAACAAGAACATACTTATCTGTTTTCAAACAATACTTTAAATACTGTGACTGTGCTGTTAGTTACTAAATGAGTCATAAAAATCAGGCTTTTATCAGTCACGGAGAACAGCACTTACAAGTAACAGAAGCATAATGGTCACTGTTCATTTGCAGAGCAGTATACAATTATACACAAATGTATATAATGATTAATGCACATAATTTTCAAAATTTTCTAATTTTGAATTTGAAAGCAAAAGAAAACTAAGAGCTAAGTAGAACAACATTAAATGTAGCAACCAGTAAACTCCAAGGGACAATGGAAGAGAATGCAAATCCTTCCTGCCAGAGCTACCAGTAGCACACATGATAAGTAGTTTTCCTTTAGTAAAACTTAATAGCTGTGTAAAAAGATTACCAAACAACAGTGAGGTAAAGCTCCTGCCGAAATGCCGGCCCACTTCTAATCCAGCTCCCCACTAATGCTCATGGGAAAGCAGCAAGGGATGGCCTAACTCCACAAGCTCCTGTACCTATCCATGTAGGAGACTCAGATGAAGTTCCTGGCTCCTGACTTCAGACCGGCCCAGCAATGGACACTGCAGGCATATGGGGAGTGGAATAGCAGATGAAGATCTCTGTCTCTTTCCTGTATTATAAACTATAATTCTTCCCTTCAAATAAACCTTTAAAAAAGTCATTACCAAATCAAGGATTTGATTTTAAAAACTGAAGCGCCGTTCTTGGAAAAATATTCAGTGCATATTTAAGAAAAAAAAAATTTGGTTTTTTTTTAAAGATTTATTTATTTATTTATTTTATTGCAAAGTCAGATATACAGAGAGGAGAAGACACAGAGAGAAACATCTTCTGTCCGATGATTCACTCCCCAAGTGAGCACAACATCCGGTGCTTGGTTGATCTGAAGCCAGGAGCCTCTTCTGGGTCTCCCACGCGGGTGCAGGGTCCCAAAGCTTTGGGCCATCCTCAACTGCTTTTCCAGGCCACAGGCAGGGAGCTGGATGGGAAACTGGGCTGCCGGGATTAAAAATGGTGCCCATATGGGATCCCGGTGTGTTCCAGGGGAGGACTTTAGCCGCTAGGCCACACTGCCAGGCCCTTTTGTTGTTAAAGATGTATTTTTAATTTTTACTGGAAAAGCAAATATACAGAGAGGAGGAGAGTAGAGATAAAGATCTTCTGTCTGCTGATTCACTCCCCAAGTGGCCACAAAGGCTTCTGGAGCTCGTAGCCTCTTCTGGGTCTCCCATGTGGGTGCAGGGTCCCGAGGTCTTGGGCCGTCCTATACTGCTTTTCCAGGCCACAAGAAGGGAACAGGATGGGAGGTGGGTTCCAGGATTAGAACCAGTGGCTATATGGGGTCCCCGCACATGCAAGGTGAGGACTTTAGCCACTAGGCCTTACTGCGCTGGGCCAGAAATGAACTAGTTCAAAGACAGTTTCTCCAAACCTAAGTGGCCCCCATTTTTTCCTCTCTTATTCAGTTAAACTTGTTAAAATTAATATTGCTCCTGGACATTTTCTAAAATCCAGGAAGAACATTTTGATTTTGTGGATGTACACTGTACTACGTACCTGAAACTTGCATCCTTTGATCCTGACATGGAAAAACAACAGAGTGGTAACTTTAGAACCAAGTCAACTGGTTGGGCCCTCAAATACCAGCAAAGGGGAGTGCACACACCATCCACAAGCAGTTAATTTACAGTACCCCAAGTACACCCCAGTCTCTGAAGCAAAGCAAACGGCTAAAAGCCACTACTAAGAGAACCACACAAGACTTCACACTGATCAAGAACAATATTCAAATCAATACTACAAGTTGCCGTGTAATATATGTACTGTTTTAACCAGAGGCTTTCAAGATATGTAACGGAAAACATATCTAAATATAGACCTGTGTGAATTAATTTTTTTCATACACAATACTTATACATCTTTGTGAGACAAAACAGCAGGAAAAAAGAAAGAACAGTAATGATTAGTAGACTGCTTAAAGCAGATGTTAAGTAACAAACCTGTACCTTCTGGACCATTTGTTGTCTGCCTGAAGGTAATTTCAAACAATTCTAAATCCCCAAGGTAGCTTTTTGCCTTGGCAGAGAATTAGAGCCACTGCTTGGGATCAAATACTTCTGACACA